AAACTTGAATTTGATAACATTCTTTCCCAAAAACTATAAGGGCAGAAGTGATGACTTTTCCCTCAGATTTTATTTTCATGTGGATATTACAGTCTAGCATCATTTCTTTAGTTGGAGAATCAAGATCTTAAATACAAGGCATGATCGTCTGTTACTTATGTTATAATTTTGTCACAAGTTTATTTTCTTTGTTGTGTTGATGATTTCAATGTTTTGTATTCTGGGCCCCATCGAAAATCAATTTGTCAGAATTGAACGGGCCACCCAGCCATGTGAAAATTTAATATAAATCTTTGAAAAATTCAAGAACATCCACAGTCACACTACTGTATATCTTATAACAGCTATCTACTTCCCTACACTATTCCACAATACGGAGTAGCTCTGTATGATAACAGACAGGTCTCTATAGAAGCACACTTTGTCCCTATCGACCACCATGGTCGACGTACAACAATCGTACGGTAACGTGTTGCACTCGCCAAGTGTTTCTTTAGACGCTACCATTAAAGTACACAAACAGGACCCATTCAGTACCCTGTTTTCCCAGGGCAAAGGTGCGAAGACAACATTAAGGAGGGTGGCGCAACGCGAGGAATTAACCTTAAGGTGCTCGGCAGGTGGCCAGGTGGGAAGAAAGGGGGTGAAGTGCGCACGGGGGGCAAGGTCGGGGGGATTGTTGTGAGAGAAACAGTTAGTGGGCGTAAAACTATCCAGTTCTGGTCTCTCTGGATAAACTGCTGCTGCTTGTTTGTTATTGTAATGCAGTGTCACGGTGAGTTTTGTTTGGCAGACTTGGATACAGGACTTTAAAGGAAGGGAAGGGGGGACAATGGAGGGAGTTACTCCACGGGAGACGGGCCGACGATAATGTTACTTAATTGCCTTGAAAAGAGGCGTTAAGACTCAAGGATAATGACCTTAAGGAACTACTTTCTTTCTAACAGAGCTAGGACATTGGGACTACTTTCTTTCAATTTAAAGAAATGGCTCACACCACAATCTAGCCAAGACCAGAACTTGAAATAAATAGCAATTTTACATCAAAATTTGCTGACCAATTGTTGCTTGAATTTTACAATCTCCAAACTGGTCCTTCGACTGATTTTATTTTAAAAAATTCCTTGTATGCCTGTAGATGATAACTCTTAACATCTCAATTATTTTTGTGGCATTTTAGATACAAAATTGCCAAAAGTGATGCAACATTCAAGTTATCAACACAATTATAATTTTCCTATCCCTTATCCTATCGAATGAATAAATATTATGAGGAACTACTTTTTTCCATGGCAAGTTGACAACAAAGATCATCTGCTGAAGAAAACGTCTGTAGGATAATGTGTCGGACGACTGTTGACCAACAACTTCTCACTTACCCATTACCACAGAGAACAAACACAGGCAGAGACCTCCCGTTTCAGGCACAGACTGTGGGCTAAGTGCTGGGACAATGGTGCAGGTGGTTCATTCATACCGGTGGAAGATTCAGTAACACGCTATGCCTCAGATACATACTGCATGTACTGGTATTTTTCCATTAAAAAAAATTCCAAACTTGTGCTACCATATAAACCCCATCAAATCAAACTCAACCTTACCTACATGTGTACAAGTACTTATGTAAGAACACCATAACTAGCATTGCGAGAACTATAAGTGTTAGAGAGTGACTGTGTATATTTTCAAAATAAATGCATGTGTTGATTTTTGCTATTGACAAACTAACTGAAGTGTTTGAAAACATAACCTACATGTTTCTTTATAACATCTTTATGCAGTGTTGCCTAAAACTAGCTTGATTGTTGGCAATTTGTTGCAACCTGTTCCAGATTTCTACACAACAACCAGCTCTTTGTAGCCTCAAATGTCAGGAGTCCAGAGTTAAGCACACAGGTTTGGCACAGACTTATTACTAAGACAAACTACCACTTCAACTTGGTCTGAATGGTTACCTGTTCTTCAACTGTACTTAGGAAAAACGAGAGGCCGTGTAACTAGGCAAGTGTCCAAAACTTTCAAGCCTTCCAAGAAAAACAGGGTAAGACTCTTGACACTTGAGATATATGTATAATGCATCAAAATATTTATGCACATACTATAATACAGGTACTTGAGTGTTGATAGGGAAATAGTGGAGACTGATTCAATACATTGTCTCTAAATTACCTGTACTTGACTTGGGAGGAAGGAAGGAAGGAAGGATTATGTATGTACACGTAGTAAGTTTCGTAGTCATCAGACAATGGATATTTCCTCTTCCTTTCAGGTGTTTCCCAATCTTGACGCAATTGCGAAGGAAATACATGTGTATGCAACAATACATCATCTAGGTTTTCCTTACTTATTCCATGAAGACTTACTTAGTCATTGGTTACATGACAAGCATGTTAAATATTTTTTCACAACATTTAAGTTCAACCTCTTTGATATTACAGCAGTGCCTATTCTAATATCAGGACCACAAAAAGGAAAATCATTGTGGCCTTATGAACATTACCAGCAAAAAGATTTTACTGTTAGTGGAAGACTGATGTGACAAATTTGAAATGCTATTTATCTCTTTCATACTCTTTTTCTCATCTTCCGAAATCTACAAGGTTGTGCTTTCAGTCCACAAACTTGACACAATGGTCTAATGTAGCAAACAGCTTGAAACTGTTGATGTGACAAGTTGGCTAAAGTAAGATCATTTTCTCCCATCGACACTTGGGCGCCAAGAGAAGAAAAAAGCGACAAAATCTGCCGTCAGCGGACTTGATTTGTGGTAAATCTGATCTGTGCTTTCCTCAGCATGACGCACAGAAAACCAATTAAGTCCATTGCTTTCTTTGCGAAGGGGATGTTCCTGTGTTTATGGTTGGAAGTCTACACCTGAGAGAAACGGATGCTTTGCAAGCAAATTGCTAAAAGACGTTCAAGTAAGATGTTGATTGAGAACTTGGGAAAAGTGAAAAAGTAGTCCCTTCCCCTGGTTGTACATGTACATGTTGTACATGTCAATGTTTAAATTGTGGATCTCCAGTAAAAGAAAAACACCTTATTAGAAAAATATCCAAAGCAATCTGTTCTTCAGTGTTTCTCAATGTACGGTAAAGCCCTTAGAAATTATGCAGAGTGCCATACTGTTACATTTATATGCCCTTTTCAGTTGAGGTAAGGTGTACTTAATTTACTTGTTTATAGTTGATAAATAGAGTACAATGCAACAGCAGCTGGTGCAACAATGGACAAATTTTCTGTCACATGTCATTGCATAATCTCAACTTCAACTTGGCACAACATTTATATGGTTCAATGTTTTCACTGTTAAAAGCATCCACTCAGCACATACACACAATAAATGTACTGTTCCCTCACAAGCAATGCTCGCAGCACGTGTGTGTGATTGACACAGGAACCCACTCTGATGGTGGGAGGGGAACATCAACAACCAAATCACTTCTTACTGCTGATTCCGGATGTATGGACACGCACGGAACACTCCCGAGAAAAATATACAACCCATACGTACCCGCCCACGTATTTATTACCCAACATTATGAACAAAAACACTCTTGTAGTCTGTACGTGCACGGTAACCAACCTGGGGTCACTGAACTTTAACTTTACACCACAGGTTTGGCAGCTATCTGTACCTTGTGTTCATACCACTGAGTTAGGGATATCAGAGAAAAACATGTTTGAGGACAGTAAAGCTTTGTTTTTTAGATTTCTTGATGACTTTGGCTGAAGTCCTATGTTTACAGAGCTGTATTAGCTATACCTGCAAAACATGTTGTTTGCAATGGACACAATGGCACCATTTCATTTTGAAAACTCACTTGAGAGAGTGGAACAACAAGATTTCATATACTGTACATGTACTTAGTACATACATGTATACCTCTATACTTTTAGGTGTCTGTGCATGTTCCTATTGTAGCACTAAAACATTAGATATCTGTACTTTCCAAATACAAGTGATCTATCTCTAGTCCCAACAAAAATGTCTCCTTCAAATATCATTTTCACATCCTGGGAATAAAAGAGGAAAATGGTCTTGTACTGACTTAAATCTATGTTGTTATAGTATCATATCCTTTTGTTTAAAACTTCCGTTCTTATTCTTCCGCCACGTTTTTAACTACTTACCATGTCTTGGGTACAATGTCTCAATTTTCTTAAAACAAAAGTCGCCACTGTATAAAGTAGGGTTTGAAACAATCCAGCCCTGTGCCCCACCTCGGTCACAGATATACATGCCCATAAATGCACCAGGGTTTACATTGGAACTTGACACAATAGAGTCAAGGGAAGGGCATGGACCTTCCTGTTGTTTTAGCCCACCTACTGTGCCACCTACCGGGGTGATCACTGTGTGTGGAGGGCTGAAAAGTTACAAGTACAAGTACACAAGATACTCAGGTCACTATACTGTGCATTTGGAATCTCGAACCACACTTTGCAGGTAGACATTCCTGTAAATACTATTCTGACAAAAGCAAGTACATCACAGTAGAGACAGAAGCATGTTCTTTCAAATGTTTGATACTTGATAAAGAAAAACAATGGACATTTCATGTTGGATGTTTTCTCTCTCACCCTTGATGTAATATAAAATTAGAAATAGTAAAGAGAGAAGCATGTTCTTTCAAATGTACATTACTTAACTATACAATGAATCAGTCACAAGTTAACATGTAGGGCTTCTAGAAAGCTATCATCGATATCTGAAAATGATTTAACATGATCATGAATTAACCAATATTATTAGGGCTCAAAATACTACATATGCTTTTTCTGCAACATTTGATTCACAATGCTAAATCTGCGATCTTTTGGTTTGCCAGAAGATTCTTAATGTATTTTTTCCTGCAATCTCAAACATTGTTCTGCAACTCAAAGGTTGAAGGGAGTATCATGAGCCTTGATTATGTAGCTAGATCTTGAATCATTCTCATAAATCAATTTATACCAGAAAATGTTAAGAAGTAACAGATGAATGAAGAGAGCCTTACCGGTTTGGCCCTCTTGCCGTAGTCTATCCAGCGCATTGTAGCAAAGTTAGTGGACTCAGCACAGTTGAAGCCGTGGTTGTAGCCACAGTGGTACCCGTATGGGAACGTGATCATGAACTCTCCTGGCTCCTGGGTGATCTGTAAGGACAAATGTGCATCTATTTATGGGCAAAAATCTATAATCAATTCTCTATTTATTTTCTGTTTTCATATTGTTAATACTACACACACACTACAATTATGTGAACATGTTCAGTTTTTGCCATGACATTTGCTTTAAGTGCCTAACTACTGATCCCAATTCATGGTTAGGAACTGTCTGCCTAACTCCTTTCTTGCCATTATGGTACATGTAAAATTTCCCTAACTGGTACCCTAACTGGTACAACTGCCACCTAGCAACAATTGACTGAACTGCAGGGTCTCACTTGACTATCTTTGGTTGGTGTTACCTACAAATCACACTTTTAGCAGCCCTTCCACTGGTAAGGTCTTGTGGGGAGGGGCTCCATTGAGTCATGGATACAGTTATAGTGCATATATGGTGACAGTTACACAGATACCAAAGCAAGCTGCTACTGGTATGATCTGTCCCTATAACAGTATAAGATCTGTGTAAGACAATGTTGCCATGTACCTTGTCAAATGGGATGCCGTACTGTTTGAGAGTGTAGGGAGAGATGAGGGTCATCTTGTGGCGCAGGAACTGGGAACAGCTCTGGAAACTTCCTGGGAAGAAACCTAACAACAAAGAACAAAACAATTTAAAAAGAGGAAAGCAGTTTCTTCAACAAGGATGAAACTTTTTCCAAAATCTATCCCTGCATGTTGTGTGTAATTTGTATCTGAGTGATGAGAGATATGCTTAAACATTAAAAGAATTATATACTAGCAGTTGCATTGATGATACTATAGTACCAACACTTACCACATGCTAGCCTTTCTAGTCTTCTCCCATGTTCTGGTGGGATAGCATACCTGTACAGAGGGAAAGCAATTGGATCTTAGAAAATCCCTGACCAAGACATAATGATGATCACTTGGAGTCACTCAAGTATAGTTGACTTGCATTTCAGAGACGCATATAAAGAAATATTTGACTACATATAGAATTAAGTTGATTTTTACAAATCCGTAGTACCTTTTCAAATACTAAACTGTTTAGTTTGATCTCACTTTATTTGACAAGTAATACACTAGAACCTACACATTATGTGGTGTGAGTAAATTTGTCGTTTTTACAAATGATGAAGAAACCCACCATGATTTGGGTGCACCAAAGTGCACATAGTTGATACTGTAGAGATCCATGTCTTCTGTGTGCCAGGCAAATGTGGTCTTCCACATGCCAAAGTACAGGTACGCTGTGTTCACTCCCTCGATCTTAATGCCATAGTCTGTAGGGGATAAAATAAAACATAAACAAACAGTTATTTCCTCAGTCAATCTTGGCAAGAAAGTCAGGTACCCTGTACTCACTCATTAGAAGTTTAAGCTCTAATCTGTTGTAGATAAAATAATAAGAAAGACACCAAAAAATGTTTCTTTTTTTCAATCATGACAAGACATACATGAAGAAGTACATGACTGAGATAATTCTTACCTTCATTTATCAAGTCCAGAATTGTGTTGAGACTGTTGATGTTCCATTCCTTCACTCCTGGGTCATACAAGGAACCTGGGAAAAAGACAAATTTCATTTCCATGTTAGAATATTCCTAGCATTATACCTAATTGTTAAACAAGTGATTGTGATTAAAGAACTTTGCTATCCATTTATTCACCAACCTGATGAATTCTTCACAGAGTGTAGAGTAGTGCCTATCAAATCATTCATGTACAGTGACAATATTCTTATGATATTTGAAATATTGAGTTAGGCATGTACCTGAGATATCTGCCCCATATATGGGCTGTATGAAGGTGATGTTCTTCCAGTACTTTCTCTCCAAGTCTTCATAGTCAATGTGCCGAGGAGTCCGATACCTGAGGTGGACAAAGGGAAATTTGTGAATTTGCATTCAGTAGCAGAAGTATGACTGGTATCACTTACATTTAAATTGAAATGTAAGAGACATAATGACAATGGTCTCTGATCAGTTTTAAGTCTCTCTCTCTCTCTGTGGTTTATCATCTGTTGTTCCCCGTAACGAGGGTTAGACATGCTTGCACACTGATGCTGAGGCTTGATGGTAGCTCACCATTGGCCTCTGTCCTGTGGTTCTTGGGCACAGCAAACTTCAATACCAGTGTGATTTATATTTCCTAAATTCTGGGTGTCAGCAATAGAATTTGTATCGTGTAGGTAATTTCCAATGCTACCTGCATGAATGCATCTATGTTTTTTTTCTGCAAACATTACGAGCCCTGATATATGTGTACATACTTGTCACTCTCGGCCAGTTTTCTGTACTCCTTCACAGTCAGTGGTTTCTTCTGGATGTTGTACTGTTGGTACAGACCCTGCTGCCCTGTCACCATCTGGAAAGAAGAAGAACAAAAGATTGTTCTGTAAAACTGGCTTGGTTATGCCTTCTCTAATGAATTCCTACACAATGCTAACCCTATGGATAGCATATACATGTACATTGACATTTGGCTGTTGTCTCACAAAAGAAGTTTTTTTACAGTAATGTACGAGATCATGATAGCACTACTGTTACATGTTGGCCCAGATCAAGAATTACTTTAAATAACTACAACATAAGGGAGTAGCTTGTACTCCAGCAACTAGGAAGAATTACATATTTCTAGGAAGTTTTTGCAGATGTAAAAGTGTTTGTAAATGTGGAATTAGAAGGTTTACCTGTTGGATAGGTGCTGGGATGATCATGTCCTCTACTTTATCATAATCCTTGGTTGGACACCACTCCTTTGGTGGGATAACCTGAAAAAAAAAACATAAAATAAAAAAGGTTACACTTCAAAATCTATCCTTCCAAAAATCTGCATAGCATTGAAAAGTTTGAATTTGTATGTCAGATGTTTTTCTACAACCTCTTCTTTCAATGTTATTGTTCACTATTTTTACCTCCATTAAAAATAGAGGTAATGTTTCTGGTGTCCTTGTGTTTCTGCATATTTGTAGTCCGCATATCTAGATCTTATGAAGGACTTTATGTACTGTGATGGTATTTGGTATGTAAGTAGGTCTAGGTAAAAAAAGATAAAGATCGAGGTCAAATGTGGGCCTCCTTGTGGCTCACCTTGGCTTAAAGATCATATTTTGGTCAACTATCCATTTCAAACTCTTTGAGTTTGACATGAATATTTCGGGACAAAACAAAACAAGAACACCTAGAAGTTTATCTGACCTTAGCGAGGCCTGCCCTGTGAGCACCCTGTGACTCCATGTAGCCGATGTAGCTGGAGAAGTCCTTGAACTCCTCGAAGGTCGGGCGGAAGGTCATGATCTTACAGTCGGGGTTGGCCTTCTCTTCACCTGAGGTCAGCGGCATGGTGGTAGACCTGCAAAAAATAACAAAAGAAAAAACTTGAAACTTTAACTTAAGACTTGGAAACATTAGGGCATGGAAGTTTTCTGACAGCATCATTAGACAGCTGTACACAATGCCCGTATTCAGCTGTGTAAAAGGTAGATGTGACAGGTTGTTCAACTATTATATAACCAGCGCACCACAAAAGAGCGATGGTCTTGATGTCACAGCCAGTGAGTGGTAGGCAGACAGAAGGTGGATGGCAGTTGGGTGATTGCCAACCGATAATTTGTGTATGTCTGAAAATAACTTGCATGTACTAGTATATGATGTAAACAGAAGCACTGATTGTTCCTATATGCCAGCAAAGCTAGTGTAGTACCCCAAAGGACAGTTACCTTACATCTTGGACTGGGACTGTGTGGGACAGGTTACACCTTACCCCAAGGCTAAACTGATCATTTGCACTAATTTTGGAAAGTGGTTGGGTTTGTTGCTACTATAACCGTTTCTAAAACGGACCTTTTTAAAAAAAGTTGTTCACTGCAATGTCTAGTCTGTACTGTAGTGAATGATACACTTTTACTTAGCTGCTTTCAATATAGACTGCAGTTCTCTGTAATAAGGATTCTAAGCTTTGATTTTTATGTTGAATAAGTGAGCAATTGATTGTACATAATAAGATTTACAGGTGAAAAATATGGTGTGTGCAAGAAAAAAAAAATGCCAAGTGTTATCCTTTTATGATGTATTTGTTGATAAAATGTGGGCTAATAATACACAAAAACCAGTTCATTTTGATAACAATCATGGTATGCACTTCCAGCATGAAAACATTTACTAGTACATGTAGTACAAAAACTGAAAAATATGCATCAACTAATCTGAAGTATGAAAACTAACATGTCAACAAGTCAAAATCCAACATGACAAATATATTACTGTACTTTCACTCCAAAATGTCCATGAAAGGTAATGCCCATTCCAGAAATAAAAGCTGCAAAGAGAGCATTTCGGTTTCAACACTTGACACACCCCCAACTTTCGTTTTCGTTGCAATACAGTGCCAGTCTTACATGATGCATGGATTGCCTCATCTCACCCAAATGCCAAAACATTACGAACAGCAGGGTACCAAAACATTGCAAAATCACTGCTTTCAACAGGAAAATCTAGTTAGGATGGTTGTAATGATTAAATTATAAGCTTTATTCTTGACACAGATACTTATTGTTTGATACCCAAACACATGTAACATTTTTACAACATACTATATGTAATTTCATGTAATATGTATGTAGCAGAGAGAAAATGCTCTTAAAATGGAACAAATGTACACAAAATTGCTACAACTTGTTAAAATTCTACTCCAATAGAAATGGAAGTCTTCATGTAATGATCATGCTCCTGTGCTGAAAGTGAAAATAAGCAAAATCTGCATCATAATAAAAATGTTATATATGTCTGTAATCTGTAATTCATCATGGTAAGTTTGTAACAAAAATCAAGAAAAAAACTTTCCATGTAGAATGATTAGTTCCACAACAGTCACGTGGTTGGTACTATGTATAATCTTATGAATATTTGTATAATTTGCAAGGCAAAACACACATCGTACAAAATACACAAAATATCGACACGTGAAAAACACGTTGTTATTTACAGGAATATTATCTGTCATGTTGCGAACGCAGAGGCAAAATTTACCTCTAGATATGCGGGAAATCTAAACAAGAACATGGTGCAAATAACGATTGTAGAGATTTTCATGTTTCTGATTACTTTTTGCTGAGCTCAAACCTGTATAACAATAGGAAAGGGACGCCATGGACTAGTTCTAATCTGACACGTACAAATTTATACAAAACATTCGTGCACAACAATAAAATCAAGGCAAGGGATATGATATGCTAAACCCATAAAATGATATACTGAAAACTGATGTATATCATGAGGTGTATGAATGGATGTATGATGTTTTGATGAGGTATGTAAAGGTGAAATCATAACATCACATAACACTAAAATAGCGGTGAGAAAAAAAGCCGCACTGGAAAATGGTGAAGGGGGAGGGCACTCCGGCGCTGACATCGCACAGTAAACCGGCAAAATCCGTAACAAAAAACAACCTACGAGCACCAAAACTTCACAGAAAGATGCAAAAACAGTCTATTTGTTGAACAAGATTGAGTTCTGGCGCCGTCGACAGTTATTAGTCCCTAAAGTTGTGGGAAATGTGGGCGTTTTGAACCAACCTTTGGCGCAGGACGGCTTATAGTTATATGCCTCCGAACCCCGGAAAAAAGGACACAACCCAATCATCGAAAATGCGGCACATCTCCAAGAAAACCACATAATCGTAACAAAGGATGATATCAGCAGCCGATGTACACGTCTAGAAACGAAGTACTCACCTCTCGGTGCCGTTGCTGCCTCAGAAATGTGTAAAATTGCCGGTATTTTCCGGCGAACCGTCCGAAATTCACACTTCTAAAAGCAGGGCAATTTCTACCGCCGCGTCACCCGCATAAACAGCGTATGTAATATACTCTCGCCGAGAAAATAGTGCAGACTAAAACCCAACCCCACAAGGCAGTTAGGCCATTATAGTCGTATGTATCTGGTTAATATACATAGCAAATTGTATATGAAGGTTAATATCTTACTTATATCTGTAGATATAGATAACTAGTGTGATTTATCCCAAGTGGATGGATACAAATCTTGCGCCCTGAGCGAGTGAGCCGGTATTCCTAGGAACTATGGGATCGCTGCTGAGGTAATGGATCAAACCAATCGTCAACAATAATGGGGGCGGATTGGGTTTCACATTAAAATCCCTGGCAGGCCTTTTAATATAGTGTCCTGTTCATTTTGTTAGACAACGCGCAATTTTTCTTGCTCTCGACTCCAGATGTAGTTTTTTTGGCATGTTCTGTGGCATTTAAAAGTTTCTTCGTCTCCTTCAATTGCAGTACTTTAGTCAGTTGATGAGTGTCTCTTTTGAAACATGATACTGTGTCTGGGTCACATAGCTCAGGCAAGGACATTACACACAGTGTATAATGTCCTTGGCTCAGGCTAGATTTTTAATTTCATTGCAAACGCCCTAGAACATGTGCTAAATCGTTAACAATACTCAGCAATGAATGGACAATTTTGTATCAGCCTCAGCTACGAATATGTCATTAGACGTTCTGGGTACAAGAAACGGATATCAAGTTTTGATAGTAAGGTTACGTGTAAATTGAATAAAAAAACATTCATATCTTTATCCATTGCGTATTAATGAAATGCAATATATCTATAACGTTATATGACTGTGTGAAATGGTCAAAAGTTGATGTCATATGACCGTCACAGGGTCCTGGGTTCACTTGGGGTCATTTTGTACACACTGGATCTTTGTTTAGTTCACAGGACCTCACGGGTTGAACAGGTGGGTTCGGAGTTATTCTCCCAAATAGAGTTTCACTCTGTACGTGTTGGCATGATGTTAGAGGTTTCCGTGGACAGAGTTTTTAACGTCACAGTTTCGTGATATGATTCTTGTTAAATGTAAGATTATAACCTTTACAGCCGGACCGCTATGGATTGAAGCTTATCCTATTAAAACATCATACTATAGATATTCGTCTTTCTGAAAATTGCCTTCGATTGTAGATTTTGATAAAGTAAAATTGCACAATTCATGATGCCAAAGACTTCTCTCAACGTCCGTAGTTCAGTCTGAAAATAATTAAAAAAAACTTGTCTTCCACAAATTCTTTTTCCCTACAGACAAGATGCGTCCGCAAGTGTTCATGCTAACATTCGCTGGTCTCCAGGTGGCTGCCATGGTAAGTTCTTAGCTACAAAAAGCACTGGGTTTGTACGGAAACCACCACCAATAAAAATGCAATATTTGTTAGAACGCCCCATGCTGTATAGAATGACTTTCCACTGTTTAATTCACGTGGTAAACACACTCAATGTTGCTACTTTTGGTGCACATCGTTGGGCGCCATATTTGCACACCTGCTTGTGTCTCATGATTCAAGGACGCCCGTGGCGAAAAACAAACGTTGTTTACATCTAGAAACTTGGTAGTCAAATCCCATATGATGATCTATTCATATACCTTGTTGTAACTACTAATTTGTTTGAATTACTGTATTTACTTTTGTGCATCTGCAGTAACTGCTTTAGAACAGCGTATGAAAGTCCCAGAGCCAAGAACGGTGTTTCGAGCAGTTTTTTTTAAGTAAAGAAATATGAAAAGTATATCTACCCCTAACCTAGCTATTAATCCTACTTTTCCAGGCCGCCGTCGGTGACAAGTGTGAGACGGAGTACGACTGTAGTACATCGTGGCCGCGACAGGAGTGCTGTAGGAAGGACGGCCAGACCTGGTCCATCTATTGGTACAACCACGGTAGGGCAGGTCACACTTTCACCGTCGGTCGCTCTGCGATTTTGAAGCCTCGGACTTTTGAAGAAAACTATGATACAGAGCTACAGAGCCAACAATAATCTTATCTTAGATACCCTTTTATGTGTAACAACCGACAAGACTGCTTGAGTTTTTGGCACTTGTTCGGCACGCGCGCACCCACACGCACTCTGCCATAGGCTTAGTAATAGTATTGGGGATATCCCATTTCAGCACCAAGGACAGACCCCACCCAGCGGCGCGGGCGAAGTAGAACTGCCCGTCAGAACGCCCTCAGTTTGCGCTCTTGCGACGGTATCGCACGGTGAATGTGACCAAACGGCACTTTTCCTGCAACTGATCAAATATTGGTACATTGTGTGCATGTTGTGGCCAAGAAATAAAGCATGTTTTGAGCGTACCGGTACCGCAACGATCGAGTACATGCGAGTACATGCCGCGGCAAGGGGGAGGGGGGCAGAAGTAACTAAATAGTTATGATTGAATTTTTCGCGGTAGAATAGTGACCGCCAAAGTCAATAAAATCAAGCATTACAGTAACCTGAAGCTATTTCAAAAGAATGTTACTCTCCTAGCGGGGGTTTAGGCCTATTTTTGACGTGTTTTAGCGAGTCGACAACCAAAGAACTGCTCGAAGATTAGTTTGAACTTTGATGTTGTTTCCTTCCTGTATCCCACAGACTTCTCCCAGCCCCTTGAGCAGGGCTCGTGCGGCGGGTTGGGTCAGGAGGGGGAGGTGTGCTGGACGGAAATGTCCTACGACTCCTGCCAGTGCGCGGACGGGCTGTCCTGCCAGCCTGCCCCGGAGCAGCCAGACGCCGACCCGGGACAGTTCCCGCTGCACATCCACACATGCCAGACCGCGCCGGAGTACCCGCAGTGGGGCTGATCCAAAAACAACACCGGGAACTACATGTATCATTTCATGCTACAGTATATAACAGTACAGTATGAGCTGTGGTATGGATCTGAAATGTGGTCGGTGTTTCAAAATGGAATAAAACGGCAAAAGCAATTATTTCTGGCTGGCCTTTTCCTGTGGTGGTCTCCTTTTAATTTTCAACCTACGGGACCGTTTCGATTAATGAATGAGACAAGAGTTTTATGATAGCTTTAGGAAGGAGGTGCCTTATACCTTCGTGTAACGGTTCATACCTTCGTGTATAGGTTCAGTCACCGCCAACACTATGAATAATTTTCCGCTGCCGCCCTGAATAAACACAGTAATATGGCAAATACGGAAGCAAGATACGAGCGTACGTGCACATAGCCACACTTTGCCTTCGACTACGAGGACTGTTTCTCAGATCGCCATGCAGAGGTGCTTGTTCGTTGCGGCTGTTTTTTGTACTTTAGCAGTCACTGCCGTGAGTCATATCTATCTTCAAAGTCTCAGTTCCTTCCTTTTCTATCTACTTACATTGAGATCATGGAGCAGCATATATGATAATCTAATTGTACAGGATACATCGTAATGGAATCTTCTATTACTTATAATGGCTTTAATTTAGGACACTAAGCTACTCTATAATGAGTTAGACTTTATACTTGTACAGTCTTTGGTGAAATCATTAACACTGTCTTCTTTAGTAGCTACATAGTGAACATATGGTTAACATATGTTAATTATGACTCAGTGGTAACACTAAATTACACTCTTGTTTGTTTATGAGCCACATTTACTTGGAGAGCAAATATATCAGACGTACCGAATTCAATTTATATCGATTCAAAGATAAGATATTGTAAATAGCTGCACACTGTGTAGGTATGGGATGTTTGTATGTGACGTCATACCCACTATGCCGCTTAGTAGAAGTGCCATGCCCAAGGACATAATGTACATGTAGTATCTGACGGAGTCCGTAATTTAGAAGTCTTAAAACAGTTAGAACTTTTCAACCTAGATTCATGTCACATTATATCAATGGATTGACTTGAAAACCAGGCTTCATAATTGGTACAAGATGTAGTATACTAAGTACCCTAACACGTCCATAGCATGATATTTGCCGATAGAGACTCGGGACTCGGGATCTCTACCCTGACATGTATAGACATCCTACTCTCATTGTACTTTGAATGTCTTGTCTGCCCCTCCAGTCCGGAACATGTGAATGGGCCTACAGTTGTAATTGGGAGACGCAGTGCTGCCGTAAGGATGGGGGGACTGGGGAACCCTTCTCAGTGTACTGGTATCCCGGACTCGGTGAGTTATGTCATGGCCTGTCCCTTTCTTCTACATTTGGCTTTACATGGGTGAGCTGTGCCTGTAGAATATAGTGCTTTTCTGAAGCTCACTGTCAACGTTTTACAAGACCACGTATGCTTCTTTTTCAATAAGAAGAGGTCACTTGTACAGGTGTGACTTTATATCAATGGCCAGGTGGCCCTTAAGTAAAGGTGGTCACTTTCACAACTCTAAATTATTGCATCTAACTTATTTTTGCCCGCATATGTCAGCGCTGGACGGGGTAGGACTAGGAGAGTGCGGAGGTCTGGGTAAGGAAGGTGAGACGTGTTTCACCGGGATGTCCATCGACTACTGCAACTGTGGCGAGGGGTTGACCTGCCGCCCTGTGGCTGGAAGCGATGTCGTGATTGGCTTCCTCACGTATGCCAATCACACCTGCCAGCCAGACAACCCATGAGAGCTGTCGACACAAAAGTTATGGGCTCCTTCACGCTGCGTTAATGATTGAAAAACGTTTGGCACAAACTCGTGTTCAACAGAAGGGTACTGAAATAAAGGATGAAACCTAAGATAAAAGCCTTTGTCTTTGTTCTTGTGTGTTGTTCAGTTTTCAGATGTAGTAATAAAGGTACTTGTACCTGACCGTGACACGGTCTTAATTTAGCGCCACCCAGTGAACGGTGAAGGCACTGCAGCTTCTGGCCTCCTCTCCCACCGGGCGGCACTTGACCGTGACATGGTGTGAGCGCCGCCTAGAGAAGGGTGATGGTACTGCAGTCATTGGGAAATACTAGTACAATGAAGACGATGCAACAGCGGCCTCTAGCGACATTTCTAAAAAGTGTAGAGTAAGTGTACGAGTGCAATGTTAACTTCAGCCGTTTGGCGTCGTATTTTTTGGACCGTGCGCAGGATGCAGTGTCTTACCGATGTAATCAGATCTCAAAAAACATTCTAGCCTAGTTGTACTGATACACATGGCAAAAAATTACGCTAGAAAGGCATTCTATATTCGAAACTTGTATCCGATATCATGTTTCAACCTACGGCATATATTTGTTCATTTTGTAGCTTTAATGTAGAATTTACAGTATGATCGCAGACTTTTTAAAGCGGGTGAAAAAAATTGATGCACGCGAAGGTAGGTGGATAGCAAAGTGACTCATTCCCCTGACATGCTGCACGTATAGTGCAGCTGCAGGGTGAAGCTGTCGTGTTCCGTACGCCCACTTCTAATTTCTCTCCTATAAAACTTCACAATAACCACCGATAGGCACCGCAAGCGGCAGCGCTGAGTGTTCAGGGCCTGACGAGGAGACAAACCTTCAGGGAAGTGCAAATATTGCGCGGAAATGATCCTCCGCCTACAATCCACCTACACCGCTGCGTGCAGAGGAAGGGGGCGGTCTGTAGCGCTCTGTCCCCCTGCTAGACATAACGTCACTGTTATATGGCTGGAAAATCGCACGGGAAGTTTCGACTGAACTTTGTCCGACTTTACTGCAGTCACACTAAGCACGTACTCAGAATGTAATTCTCTGATATGGTATCTAATGGATGTTTGGTCAACGTTACATCAGAAAACAACGGGCACACGCATTCAGGACTTTCCCGCGACTTTGCTCCCGACAGACTAGCAAGCAACCTCGCCGACCTACACACAACTGCACACGACCTTGCTCACGACTAACTCCCAACCATAGTAGGCTATGTGTGGCGGGACTCTTAGTAAGAAAACGTGCGGTGCATATTGCATATGGCAAATTGCATTATGCAAATTGCATTATGCAAATTGCGGATACTATCCTGAAACGCGCTAACACGACCTGATAGGTTTAAGATAAGATCATGTCCTGCCATGCTATGAAGTGTAGAGACAGGCCATGGCGAAATTCTCAAACGTACAATGAACAGATATCATAAACCGTAAGTAACCCACATCATCAAAAGCATAGATTGAAAACGAGAGGTTCATTAATAGCCCTGTACCTACAGGAGACATCTGTCAAGGTTTAACGGTCGGTTTCTTCAGCGTTATCTTCCAGATCAACCCCCGAACGTGTCGTTTGGCAAGAACAATTTTCAATAGCTGTCTGCAACTGATGGAACGAGTCTGGGACTTGTACTGGCGAAGTGCCCACTTACATTAGGGGTACTCAGAAAAATCTATACGGCAAGTTACTTATGGAACAATATGAAGTAATGCTATTAAGCACATTTCCCGCAATCAAAAAACACTTCTAGATGTGAGTGGTTGCAAGCTTTCAGTCTGGTCTCATGTACGCTGTACTTGATGTACAAAGCAGGTCATCAAAGTAATGAACAGGCGGAGTGTTCATTAAAAGTTTTCGTAGACTACTAGTAATTTTCCATAGACGAAGAGGAACGAAATTTGGCACACGTGTTGGATGGTTCAATCCCGTACATCTGTACTACCCAGGCACAGGTTATCATCCACCAGCGATGCAGTTTATTGAAATTGATTTCCTCCCAGATTCTCAAACCTGTTCGCCGACTTCAAAAACACAGTCCCTGGTCGGGGTTACACACTTGACATTCTGCCTCCCATCTTTCCGTCGTTTTTATTTCCCAACTTACAGATGAAAGTCACCTCACAGACGACGGGAAAGTGGCCCTAATCGATGACCTGAGGGATTCGGGACGTTTTGATCGATGGGTCCCTTTAAGCGATTTTTCTGGAGTCCCTCAAAAGCAAACGACCCTTCAGGGCTTCCCGTAACAGCCAGGATTCAGTCTACACGATCCCAGCCCGCCCGTTAACGCCTGCGTGCCGTCCCTCCCCCCGCTAATGGTCCAACCCGCTGACTCTGTTTTCCGTAGACGAGCGGATGGTGTCCCCTGCAGGGAGGTAGGGTCAGGGGACGCGTGTTCCATCGGGGGCGGCCCGGAGCGCACCGGCGCGCGGGGGAACCGGTTACGTGCCGAGAATATAACACGGGAAGGGCTTCTGCAAGTGTTGGAAGCGAGGGAGGAAGGAGAAAGAAGTACAGAGTGTTTTCAGGAGACGCGCGGATCGTGTCGCCTGCAGGGAGGGAGGGTCAGGGGACGTGTTCTCCATCAGGGGCGGCCTGGAGCGCACCGGCGCGCGGGGGAACCGGTTACGTGCCGAGAATATAACACGGGCAGGACTTCTGTAAGCGAGGGAATGAACGGGGTAGGCAACGGAAAATACAGATGATATCAGAAAATGGACCAGGATGACACTAAATGAAACTTTAAGACTCACACTTAGAAGTGAAGACAACCAATTTTCTTCACCTGAGAAGGGTGATGAAAACTTGTCCCCATATCGTCTGTGGCACCAACGGTCAAATAGTTAGATTAAGGAATAGCTGATGATGATATTGAGGATACTGACGGCCCACCTCAGTGCTAAACACTAAATAGGGCGAAGATGATGATGAGGATATGAAGAAGTGTGGACTATTCACGGGGAGAGGAATGCACCCGTGACGTTCATTTCTTCGTTGTTTCCACTGGTAATATAGTTCCCTGCAAACAAATATTCTTAACCAAAGGATTCAGAATTATGTGCAATATTATATGTCTTTGTGAGCGTTTTTAAAACAAATTTTCTGTACATTGACTGCAATTCAGTGATATTTTCACTGCGATAGCTCAATAAAGATATCTTGAATCTTGAATCTTGTAACTATGTATTCAGCACCAAGGACAGTGAAAATTGGGAATACGATGGAGGGCATCGTGAGAGGTACAACTACATATCACTGAGTCGTGCACGGAAGCTCGCAAACTCTTGGCAACACAGCCATAAAAGTGCTGATAGGAGGCTCAAACTTGCATCACGTCCTTGCAAGACCAAATGCTATTTGTCATTCGAAAACCATGACAACATCACGTGCAGAACGTGAAATATCGTAACCAGAATGGATGTCTGCTGCAGGCCTATAACCAAACGCTCGCCCTTCCTTGGTTTGCCGACACCTATTCAGTATCCACATAACACACCAAATATCATAAAGATCGATCCACACCCTCTAAAGTTATGCTGTCAACCGACCGACCAACCAACAAAGAAACTAACTGCACAGTCTTATTTACGAGTGTGAAAATTGTTGCACTTTAACTGAGTCAGCAGTGAAAATGTCAATGTAATCAATACCTCAGCATTGTTAGTCTTCTCTCCTATGGGCAGTCCTGATCACATCTGCCTTTTGAATAAAGACTGTCTACAAAAGGTGTGATTGTGAAGGTCAGGTCTTCAATCGGGGACTGGCACAGCAGGGAGGAAATAGAATCAACCGGGCTGGTGTCAGGGTAAAGGGGAATGGCCTCTGTAGAAAGCAGAAAGACGATCATCAGACATCACTTTACTTGCCTGTGCCTCTCCCCCCCCCCCCACTTCTAACTCTCTAGGCCAGGACACGTTTTGCCCCTACTCCATCTCTCAGGAGGAAGTTCTACGCTGAAAGCTTCTTTCCTAGAACTACATGACTATGGAACAGGCTTTCCTTTGAATGCTTCCCAAACGAGTACAATTAACCTTAAACCTTTCAAGTCTAAGGTAAAGAAACACCTGTCTAAGGCAAAAAAAAGACATGTGAACGGTTCGTATGAGCCTTGTTTTGAAGTGGAAATAGTAGTAAATAAAGACGAAAGATCGCAGCCGAAGAAAATGCGGGTTGCATGTCATCATGATGCCTGTCAGGTTGACAGACGATGACAATCAGACGCGTCTAGACCGGTGCCAAACCTGGCGTCTGCCGCTGACAGCAGGAGTCAACCTTATCACATCACCTGCACCAACAGGCTGCCAATCTTCATGGACGTTTATGGGAAGTTCTCGGCCTGCATCTGTCAATAGTACATGTACAGATCTACGACTTTGCCCTTGGGAACTTGGCAAATTTACAATTCTTTGGGCAGTCGATGTGGGTCTGCAATAAAATGTGTACGAACATACATATCTAACGTGCTTTACAATGAGATAAGCCACCCTTCCAAACCATGTGATATTTGTAATAATCACATTGCGATGTATTGCAGCAAGAGGATGAAATTCTAAGTTTTCTATCAGACGCTGCCTTATAGCCTTTTGGCAGATATTGCTTCTACTGCTTTTAGCAATGATTATATCTTTAAAATGATACACCTCGTCCCAACACGTCGTGCCAATCTAGAGTCCTCTATCGATTCAAAATAAAGAAGTCTTGTCAACCACTGAAGTCTTCAGCCAAAGTGTAGCAATAACAGTAAGGTCCAATGCTAGAGAACCGCAGCAGAATACAGAATACTCCACACTTCCAGGAAACATCATATGCGGGGATATGTGGAGATACGGGGATATGGGGAGAATCAAAGGCTACGCATTTCCAACGTTTGTCTTTAGTGACCCGAATATTTGAAAGCAAGCAGACTAACACACATACACCACTCGACTCATCCGTGTCTAATAATGGCTTTCCTATTCGCACAGAATTGACATAACACAGGCGGGCGTGTAATGTAGAGAAACATATCGAACAGCTGCTCGTCCCAATACCGATAACGGCGTTCTGACTGCCGCCTGGGCGCGGGG